TTTAGGGGTTTTATTATAAAAGTTTTCTAAAATTGACCTAAATTATTTTTCCGTTGTATATTAACGGTTACAAAATTGTCTTAAAACCCTACAAAAGAACATGAACACCAATACTACATTGCATGAATTAACATTTTCATATTTTAACTTGTACCTCTATTTAAAAGCATTTCAAGAAACTCAAACTTACCATTTGTTCGAACTAGAAAAGCCAGTGTGCCTATTTCGCTTCCACACCTAAAAATCACATGTGTTATTGAGAACAACTTCATAACATATAAATCTCATATATTCTATGTCTAAATGTTTTAGTAAGCCTAAATGAACCTTTCCACAATGAAATATGTCTAAAAAGATTTACAATGATCTAAGATTCCCAAAGTTTACCAAAATCCTATCGTAACCACTTCGTAAACAATCTCGTGTATTATATGTCTAAATGTTTATAATGAAAAAAATGAGAGAGAGAGAGAAAAACCATGCCTCTCACTTAATGGATGGAAGTTAATGACAGTTAAAGGGAGGGACCAAAAACCGAGCAAAATGGCAAACCACGATGGCAAAATTGTAATAGACAGTGACAAATTGTAGGAACGAAAATGTAATTTACAATAAAGAGACAAGAACAGAGTTGACTTTTGTACCCAAAATAGGGTTGGGGTGGGGTCGGGATCGTACTGTTTGTCCCAAATCTAACCCCGATTATATATAGGTTCAAACGCAAACATGTAATAAGAAAACACTAGAACAACCAAATTATATATGATTTTCCACTGAAATCACATACGGTTACATAATACGATCAGCGTGAGGATGTCTCAACGATTTGATCCGCGACCTAGGTCATGGTCAAAGTTGTGTTGTAATCACATGTGATTTCAATGTAAAATCACATGTGATTTGTCCGTTATCGTGTTCTATTATTCTCATGTGAACCCGTCTCTCTCTCTCTCTCTCTCTCTCTATATATATATATATATATATATATATATGTACACACACACACACTACTTCCAATATATAGAGTTAACTAGATGGGTAGCTAATCGGTTGCCTTTACTCAGACAAAGATTCTTTCACCCCGAGCCATTGAGGATTAGACGAGGCGTGGACGAGGGCCTAAACAAGGAATAGCGGGTGCATTCCCACCTATTACCCGTTACGTTTCCATCCCTATTGATAATTTCTCATATAAACACAAATTTATGCAATTATCTTTAATTAACCCAATTTAAAACATTAATTATTTACCCAATTTTCCAGATGCATCAACTTGGTACTTTATAACACATCATTTGAGTTTATTGTACCTAAAATCCTCAATAACTTAACAACTTTCTACCATAGATGATGATTTTACATAATCTACTTATATTTATTAATACATATTCAATATAGCAAGATCATCAAAAAGTTATACATACATCAACCATATATCAAAATTTACCTTAATTCAAGTTTGAAACTTCCTTAACTTGCTTGATTGTTGTTTTAAACTCTTCGATTTCTTTGATTAAGGTTGGAAAGACTCGAATCACCTTCTCCTACTCTTAGTTCCACCCAATTGATCTCGAACTCACCCCCTCTCCCTCTCTCTCTAAAATTTTGTTCACGCATGAAAAAAAATGAAACATTTGATATTTTGTCCTATATTTGTTTGAAGGGTTTGGGCTTCAACAAGAAATTGGGCCCTTAAACCTATTTGGGCTTCATACATGAAATTTTGGTCAACCATACCCCTAACATACTATTTCTATGGGTTTCCGACAAGAATAACTCAATATTTTTTTTAAATTACGTTTTTAACCCTTAAATTTAAAAGTTTATAAAATTAACCATCAGTTACTCATTTAGCAAAGAGTGGTGCTAATGGGGACCTATGTGCAAAAAAAAAATTATGACATCGATGTGACTCTTCTTCTGACCGACTTGACATCGATGCACTATACAGAGGCTTTGCATGGTGCTCCGTCTGGAAAAGAAGACTACAGAGTTTGGGTGAGCAAACTCTGAAAAATGACTCTTCAGACTTATACTCTGGAAATAACTCTGAAGAATGACTCTTCAGACTTGTACTCTTGAAATAACTCTAAAGTATAAAATCAATCATATTAAATCAGAGTTCAGACTTCTAATCTGGAAAAAAAAGACTTCAGATTTCAGAGTTCGGGTGAGCCAAGTCCGGAAAAAAAAGACTTCATACTTCAGAATTCGGATGAGCTAAGTCTAAAAAAAAGACTTCATAATTCGGGTGAGCTAACTCTGAAGAATGACTCTTCAGACTTGTACTCTTCATAATTGTCGAAGACTTCAAAGTTCAAACTTTTGAGTCTGAAAAAGAAGACTTCAGACTTCTTTTTCTAACTCTAAAAAAAAGATTTCAGAGTTCAGACCTCTAAGTTTGAAAAAGAAGACTTCAAAGTTCAAATTCCAGAGTTGAGGTGAACTATGTTTGAAAAAAACTTCATAGACTTGTTCTCTTGAAATAACTATGGAGTAAAACTTTTCAATAAATTGAATTTAGAACAAAATGAAGTTAACCTTAGAATAAAAATTGAATTTAGAAATGAAGCTATATCAGTAAATTGAATTTAAATTTAGAAGTAAACAACATTTTTTTGGGGAATTAGTTACCACACGAATTAATTAACCCAAAAATAAAATTAATTGCATCTTAAATTAGTGGGATTGATTGAATAAGAGGACACATGTCAATCAAATAAGTATAATTGAACTGTTAATGTAAATTATGTCTAGATACATTCAAATGAGTCTAATTGAACCACTAATGTAAATTGTGTCTAAATACGTATTTAGGCAGGAAAACAAGAGAACCGACTCACCAAAATATGACACATGTCATCCAAGTTACTTATTTATTATAAGTATATATTTTAGGTCCTTGTAAGTACTATGGTTTTTATAAATAATAAGAAAAAAAAAACAAAAAGAGAGAGAAAACATGATTGGACGAAAATACCCCTGGCTCTAAGAGACATAGTCGACGGAGATAGTGATAAGGTCCAATTTTCAAAACAAGATCTTAACTTTCTGATTTATTAAAACTAGAAAGGTACTCGCACAATGCAATGAGATATATCTCGATTTAATATGCAACACGAATCAAAATTAAGATAATCATGGAAGGATAAGAATTTAATGATTCTCTCAACTATGGATCATGGAAAAACACTACCATTGGCATCTCTGCATTGTGCCCTTTGGTCTCTTTCAAGGTTTGAAATATTTCTACATGTTCCTCAAGTTTCCAACTCCCTTTTTGTGGATGACGATTGCAAGGTCTTGTATGTGTGAATCTAGCAAGCATTTTCTTGGAGATTGTTAATGGTTTCAACCACAGGAAAGCCAATTTCTGAAATTTGGCATGTAGGAACAAAGATCTGCCTATAAAACAATTTCACAGTTGCTATATGAGATACCTTAATATACTGCAGTGCACAATATTTCACATGAGAGCCTAATTGAAGAACTTCAAAGCACCATTTTCAGTTTGAAGAGCTTCAAAGCATCCTATGAAACCATATTTTTGAAGATTTTGTGAAATTGAACGATAAGAGAATGAAATTACCTTCATCATGCTTCATCTGACACACAAATTCCTCCGTTCCATAAGACATTTCACGTCATAAATTACCTTCATCATGTTCCGTCGTTAATTAACTTCATCAAGATAATTGATTGTAACGAAAATATCATCCTATAATGCAAATTGATTGTAACAAAAATATCACAACTGTATGAACGAATTCCCGGATAAACCTAGGTTTTGAATTAAGGTGCTTGATGTTAGGGTTTAAGTCGGTATAAATCATAAATCAATCTAACAATCAGAAGCAATCGGCAATCAATACATCCAACCATAAGGTTGAAGCTTACCTTGAAAGAGAAGTCAATCGAGAGTTTGGGATGAGAAGCAATCGAGCTTTGGGGAAGTAAACGTAAACCGACAAAGAACTAGACAAAGAAACCATAAAGAATAGATATGTAATGAGTCAAAAATAAAGAAGCAAAAATCGATACAGACCATAAATCAATTAGAAGCAATGGTCGAAACCCATGAAATTAAAGCTTACCTTGAAAGAGAAGCAACTGAGCTTTGAGGAAAGGGACGTTGACAGTGATTATAGTAAAAACGGAGTCAAAACCGCCCATTAGATATGCAATCAACAATAGCTATATACTCTTTGAAAAGAAGAGATTCTAGGGACGTTACTTGGATTAGAAAGATTGTAGGGGCGAGGAAAGATTTCAATGAAGCGGTATGCTTTAAAAACATATACATACGTATAATTGAAAAAAATCACAAGATCAATATTAAAAATGTAAAAATCATGGAATTTTATGGATCTTGTAACTCCCAATTAATGAAATAAGAGTTATAAAGAAAATTAATCATATACCTTCAACATTAAATTTTTAGATAGTGAAGAACTTAATATTAAGATGGACTGCGATTGATCTAAAAGATTTATAAAGTTAACACAATAATTTAGGTTAACATTTGAACTAAACGTTCTCTCTCATATGAAAAGTCTAAAAAACACAGTTTGTTTTCAAGGTTTTGGATTTTAAGAATATCTAGCTAGATAAAATCATCTAATTAATTTTGATTGTTGAGAATCTTTAATTGACACTGCTAATATCAACCTGTTACTGAATCTCTCGAGTTATTTTGATGTGCTAATATTCAACTTGTTACTAAATCTCTTGAGATTGCTAATATTCAAAATTTTTCATTATGTTATTATATTAACCAGTTTTTTATAAGTAATAAGAATATATCCAACAGGTTTTAAAAAATCCAAAGAGTTATTTAACAGGTTTTGTAATGTCCAATGACTTGTTTGATCCAAAAAATTGTTCAAAACACACACACATATATATATATATATATATATATATATATATATTCACAAGTTACATACCCAGTAAGTATGGCAAAAAGTAGGTTAGTGAACTTGTTCAAGGATTTGGTTCGTCTATCTCCAACTGTAAGCAGGAGAATATGAACCATATTTCTCGGAAGTGGAAGTGGTGGTGGGTTGTTTCTGAGTGAAGTACTTGGCATACGCATCCCGTCTCTTTTTAAACTTTTTCATTGCGCTTTGATGACATTTCTTTTCCTTCAATAACTCCTTCATCGTCTCTTCCAATTTCAACTTCATTTCAGTATAACGCTGCTTCACATGCTCTTCATTTCTTCCACCACCAACTGCTGCTACGGGAAAAACGATGTCTGGCTCCCTAAACATCATTTAAACAAAAATAGATTTTCAAGATTATCCTTGATGTAATGCAAAAAGTGGTTAAAACAGTCGATTGAACATTGTTACCAGAATCCAAGAGACATAGCTCCGTTGCCTCTAAAAATTCCTCCATCCAAGGAAACGGCACCATCTTTTATGCAAGAGATTGCGTTTTTCATGTCTTGTCTAGTTTTATAAACTTGGGTCTCACCAAAAAGACGATAGAACAAAGTCTCTCGAAGATACGACCCCGAATCAGTCCTTGTGTCCAAGTGATCAACATCTATATCTATCATGTTCACTGCATAACCCACAAAACCTGCTGGAGTCGCCCCATCGGGAAGGCTGGGATTCGGCAACATAAGTTTTCCCTCGAGATCTTTATCTACCTTGCATGCACTGCCAAAATCCAGTCAAGTCAAGCCATTGCATTTCAGTATATGCTCAGATTATTCAGAAAATTAAACAGTGGAAAGGAACCTTATATCTTCAATGCATAGAAGGTGATAACGACCAATTACAGATTTTCCAAGTCCTGCTGCCAACATGTGAAGAGCACGATTATGATCCAACCTCCCATTCTTTTTGTAGGTCTCAAGGAAACGCACATCCTTGTAATTTTTGCATACCACTGCAAGCATTTGATCACCAAGATATTCTGCAAATATCCTGAGTAATAAAATTGATTTTATATCATGCAACTTTATAATCAGAAGTTACAGTTTGTCCACATGCAAATATGGATTCACCTGCTAAGCTCCAAAGTTGGAGTTGTTCCAAGAAGTGCAACAACACCAATTATTCTTTTGAAGGATTGACTCGACTCTTCTCTCAAGAGTTCCATGACAACAGAAGCAGCACTGTCCGTCTTAAGTTCAACCTGTGCTTTGATTTCCATTTTCCCTGGCGAACCATATTTGATACCATTTCTCTCTGTGCTGTAAGTTTGGTACCTGATAACTGGATAATGATATCAAACATTATAATACACCCAAATTATTTCATCATCACATCCCTAATAACATAAAATATTAGAAAGAGGCATAGGATTCAAGTGCACACAGCAGACCATCCGTATCTATATGCAGTATCTCAAAAGGGTAAGTTTATACGACACTGAGTTCAAGGTCAACACCTTGGAGTTGAGTAAATGGAGATGGTAGGGAACCTATCTAAGACATCCACTTGGACATAGGGAACTCTTGTAGCTATCAACACCTCCTAACATGTATTTGCTCGCAATTTCCATCTTCAGCTTGCCTACTAACAATATATTCTCAACACTTTTCATAAACAAACATACATGATCTAGCATTTCATGTCATTCCTGGAACTACCAGTACTTTATAAACCTTTTAATCTGATTAATAGTACTATACTCCATTTCAAAATAATCATCCTCTTGATTTCAGAGTAAAAAATTGCATTTAACTTCAAGATCGATGCAAACTCGTTGCTTTTTTTTGGAGAAAATAACAAGAAACACTACCAAGTTCAAAAAGCTTTGGTGCTAAAGAAGGGTAAATACATCCTAAAAACTTTGAATTTGAGCATTAGGTGTTTGAGTTTTGAATTCAAAAAGGACAATTGTTATTATGATGGAAGTAAAAAGAAGAAAATAAAATAATTCCTTAAGCAGCGAAACTTATGCATATGAGGATGGAAGAATCTAGTGAATGGTTGGGAAGAGAGCAGTCCTTCGATACGAAGTGAACATTTCGATTAAAAAAATACAAAGTAAAATATCAAAATAGGTGGGATGTATGTAAGCAACATTAGAGTATATATAAGCTCATTGATGGATCTGATCATCCTCAGTTACTAGAACCAGCAAATTCATGATCCTCAAAATACCAAATGAACAAAGTTAAGGCAATTATCACCTTCCAATTCTAAGAGTTCGGAGTCTATGGCACTTTTCTGACATTCGAGCTGTTTTATCTTGTCTTCATGTTGGCCAATCCTCAAACCAAGATCACAAATCTCGTTCATGAGGTCCTGAAGATTAAGTAAATAGGTATCATGTGAAAACAGTAATGTTGCTGGTGACCAATCTATTTACAGACAATTTAGCGGAATACAAGACTTGGCACTGTACCTTTTCGAAATTGAGACAAGATCTTAAATCACTTTGGAAATCGTAATATACATCTTGTATGGGTGAAAGTTTTGTCTCTGGAGTATGACATTGGACACTCCTATAATCCGTTTGTGCATCCATGGGAGCATTTGAGTCCACGAGTGCCATATTTTCATCCGTAGATAGATGTTTGATATTAAGAGGTGTCATCTCTGGAGGTAGCTCATGTATGATATTAAAAGGCTTCATCTCTGGATGTATCTCAACGTAAACCTATGTGTAAATACTAGAATCAATAGTTCAGCAGTTGTATCACGTAAATGTTTTGAGGAAAGATTTTAACCTTAATGGTCAATTGGAGCTCCACGTGACGAGAATGAGAAACTACAAAACTAAAATCCCCTTCCTCTGAAGGAATAGGAACTGCACGAACTATGCAGCGCCCATCACGAAACACGTACTTCACAGATTCGTCAATTTCTATAAATTGTGAGGTTATTACAAGGGTATGAGATTGTCCAATCTTATCTTCATCATGAAAGTTGACATCCACTTCACCCTTAGGATTGACAACTTCAAACTCCAAGTTTTCAAGTTTGGATCCAGCAAAACAACTTTCAGGTATCTGCAATCATGAATATAACTTTGAGGCTAATGAATTTTCATATACATTTAGGAGACATCAAGTCAACGATTTCAGACCACTGATGTAGTTCTCAGCTGCCTTTTCTCGATCTGCCACTCCTTGTGGATAACTCCTCCATCCGAGCTAACCGAAAGAAATACTGTATGAAGGTTGTCTTTTGAAATGAGAACCAGAATTGTAATCTAAAAGACTTTAGTCTCTTTCACAAGACTTCTATCCGAACTAGCAATAAAATAAATTGTAAGAAATGTGGAGTCAAAGAAATGAAAGCCGAGTGCTTTTCAATCAGAAGGCAACAACATTTAATACTGCAGAAACAATCATGATAAGGGATAGTAAGTCTGTCTAAAAAGGAAACTTCAAACTTATATGTGCATTATAAGTTCTTAAGAAATTTCAACAAAATGGTATCTGGCTATTGATCTCTCAAATGCATGCTGTACCAAAAATACAAACTAAACAGATAGGTATATCATGTATCATACCCTTTCTTCCGTAGCCTGCAGTAACTCTTAAGAGGCCACCAAGATCAATGCACCCGCGAGCATCCACCTAGACCATTAAATATTATAATGACAAGCTCACTTGGTAAAAATACAAATCAAAAAACATAACACTTGGTCACTTAAAGCCATTCCATAAAATAAAATGGCATCGTAAAATGGTAACCAAACAAACAAGATGAAATTAATGTAATCCCAAAAGTGAGATAACAAAAGATTTACCATTGTAGCTTTGTAACTAACAAGAAGTTAATTTTACAACACACAACATATTTGGATCGCCTTAGTGTTCGTAATTTTTGTATTCAATTTAGGAACCCCATTTATCATCAAGGACTGAAGCCACCTTAAATAGAATACAATACAATTGAAGACAAAGATAACAAGATAAATCTTGGTGAGTCATCAATATCTATGACCGTCGACCCTTCACAAGTTGGAGTATAGATGTTAATCAAGCCCAACTTGATGCAATGAAGTCCATCCAGGTCTTCCTTTACGAGTTTTCTCATAATGTCTGCAAGCTAATGGTGCATAGAAATATTAACTGAAGATGGAGGAACAATTAAGAAATCCACGACATGATTCCTTACCATATAAAAGTTGACCTGGGTATGTTTGATCCTCTCATGAAGAATTTTGTTCTTCACTGTATGGTCGACATATTTATTATCACAATATAGTCCCTAAAACTCATGGCAACAATTGTTTGGACCATATCATTTCACGTGAGACATCTGGGATAGCACGATACTCGTATTCGAAACAGTAGTGATTTAGAGCCCCACGATCAGGGTTCAGCTAAAGTTTGTGGCAACAAAATGGGATCAAACAGGGGGGCTGGTGTGACAAGTGATTGGAGTCTACTCTCTCTCTCTCTCTCTCTCATTTTGAAGAAGGTGGATGGTGGGCTCTAATACCATTTAAGTACTCAAGCTAGAGATCTGACTTGTTTATTATCAGGAATTTATGTGACTCTTCTTAACAATAACCATCACTACTTAGATGTCTATTAAATACAAGATCACCTATGGAGCACCTTGAATGTCTGATAAATCAGAAACCGTATCATGTGTTTAAATCACGTGACAAAAGTTGTTAGTTATCAAAAACTTTATCTAAATGCTCCAAACTACAAGAGGAACCCACCTTCTTCTGAAGACAATATGATCCATCTGGAAAACAACATCCATCCACACCTAACAGCACCTTCTGTTTTTCTTGTAGATGATTTCTATGTGCATCAAACAACTGTACAAGGATGTTCAAAATTACATAAGTACAGAATAATTCTTCAGAAGCCCAAGCATCTGGAATTGGAATAGAAATGAGGAATATAAATCATGCACACATAAATAATATATAACAGGATAGACATCAATTGCTTCTTCGTAGACAAATAAAACGGATGCAATGTGGCTACAGCTCCATTCCAATCAAATAGTACAACATATATAAGAAACAAATTTGCTAAAAATAAATATGATAATTAACTACAAATTGAATACGTAGCATGAAATGGGTAAATGTACCTCCAAAATCAACTCTTTAATTACATGGCCTGGAATCAATTGCTTCTCACAGATTTCTGGTCGCACTGTAACATGTTTTACAGGTCCAGGAACAACTAGGGCAACAAAAAACAGAACAAACCTAGTTAACCAATTGATTCCTTAATATACTAATCAATTGCACTTCCAATGTATGATTTTCTACTTGAAACATGGCAAACATATACACACCTTTGACGAGGATATCTAACAGGTGTGAACCATCAGGCAGAGATAACATCAGAGTGGCATCATAACTTGGCCGAATATTGTCCAAAGTTGAGCTCTTAATAAGCAAATCCTACAAAAGTTACAGCCTGTAGATGGGTTACATTTGCGAAGCCATAGTGCCTCAATTTCAAGAAAAGTTCTTACGGACATCAAATGTAGGAAAATCATACCTTGAGTATTAGAGCTGACTTATCAGATGATGTAGATGGATTATATTTGAGAACTTGAACCCTAGTACCCTCAGTGCAGTTGACCTTAACTTCAACTTCAGAAACTTCTAGGAATGGAATTTGATTGTCATATTTATCAAACTTCACAACAGAGATGGGCTCACAGTAACGGCCAACCCTAAACAAAAATCAGCATGTCAATAGACATTATTACTATCAAATAGGAAGCACAGTATACATGTTAAATTGGAAAAGAATTAACACATTAAGTAATGTACTTTGTGAGTATGATATATAGAAGCCGTGCATCAAATTGGTACATAACATGACACAAACACTGTAAAAATATTCTAAAGCAGGAAGTTACTATGGTGGCAATCCAAGAATGCAAAAAATCTGAATATGTAGGGTGTATCTGACCGAGAATATATTTTGATAACCAAATTGATAGATCGGTTAGAACCATAACATTTGAAGACATACAAGGAAAGCACAGTTAATTACAAAAAATAGTTTGTTCTATGACTGAACCACTTGGCAACTATCGGAGGTTAAACTCCAAAGCATAATCAAGGCAAAAAGGGGTATGGGTATAGTTAGTTGCAGCCCATCCTTTTCATACATAAAACCAATTCATGCATACATATACGTAGAAACATACACACACATACATAGACTGACCTATAAACTTTACCAAGCATAAGGTTAGGGATCTGAGAGCAACAGCCGTATATGAAGCCTCAACATACAAAAACCAAACTGAAGATTACTAGCGATTTAAGCACATAATCTGTATATCCATACAAAAACAGTGATTTTACAAGGTATGGCATAAAAGATATATAATGAAGTTTACGCTTCAGATATCCTGGCATGCAAAGTGACCTAATATGTAATGGACATGACTCCTATCCTATGTTCTATAAAATTGATAATATAAATCCATGATAGAAACTGAGTGCAAAGTTCTTCCTCTATCTCTAACTTTAATCATGATAGGATTAAATATTCATGTCCTGTAATTGTCAAACTGATGGAAGAAGTTCAATTTTAATTACCGCTTACTGGATTCCATATATAAAATATCAAACTACAAAGTGGTTAGACAAGAGTATGAAAAGACAGGACAAAGGTTACACAAGGAAGAATCAATACTGAAGTGTTGCTTTTTCTTTGACTATGAAGTCTGAACTTCAACACATGTTCAGATATATTGATTTCCTAGATCCGTGTTTGATAGTAGTGCCATGTAACAGCCAATCCTTGTCAAACAAGAAAGTATGAAAACACATTTGTATGCAGTAGAAATTTACATTTAGACTCAAGATCGAGTAGAGATTTTAATTTGCGTTAAATACTTGAGACAAATTAGATATGGTGGTGATGATAGGCAGGCGTCTTACGTTAACAAATGGTAAGGAATTTCCTTGGAAGGTGCCCATCTGTGGGCTTCACGTGATGCTTTAACTTGGACCTTCACCACACATTTCTGACAACTTGGATTTCTCTAATATATGGAGAATATTGTTACAGAAGGTCAGCGAAGCAAAATCCTACACTTATAAAAGCATTTGTGACAAATGAACAATTTGATGTTACTCACAATAGATAACGAAAACGTATAAATGCCAGCTTTATGAAACAGAGGATGTGACTTGCAGTTTGGTTGAAATACATATAAACCATGAACATCTCTTCGTGATGAAGGTGTTACAAGTGCAGAATAGATATTGCTTTCATCCTGCAATTTCTCGTTTCCAGAATATGCAATTGCTAGTGACATCTCAAATTTATCTTTCATCACATATTTCTGGTCCAAATGTTTGGAGGCAGTCCCAGAATTAAATGTAGCAGGACGAACCACAGCAACAATTTCACAGGGTGATACATGTCCAGCACAAACTTCACGCTCATCAGGTAAAGACTGAGAAGAAATTGAAGTTAGTTTGGAGATTCAGTCTATTAAAGAAGATGAACAATAGAATTGACAAATGAGAATTGATTTGATGAACTAACCACTTCTATTCCCAACTCACGGCATTGTCTTCTAGTCAGTATCTCAATTGAGGAAGGAGATTTCTGATGTTGCTTCTGAAGTTGCTGATTCCATTCAGCATCATCAACAGCTAAACACTGCAACATAAGTTGCTCTTTTACAAGTCGTCATTTTTGCCACAGTACTTGAACAAAAGAACATAACCACAAGTAGAATACAGATATGACGTGAAATCCTAACCTTTCCAGAATCAATGGCATTTATATGTATCGAGACAGATTTCCGCAAATCCAAAATGGGATTCCCCTTAATAGTTTCAAGGAGACAGCCATCTTCTTCCAATGTATCAATAGACCTTCCAAACCAGAGTAGTATAACAGAAATTTTGAATAAAAGAAACTGTGAGATCAGAGACGTTGAAAAGCAAGAAGAAAATAAAGAAGATATAGATAGAGATAAAAGCATTAAGTGGTCCACCTGCAAATTATCCATGCTTCTCCTGTTTAATGCAAAAATATGAAAAATTAATTGAAATATAAGTGACAAGTCAAGTACTGAAAATCCACAAAAAGTATGCAAACTGGAATACGGTATTTATGGGGTGAAAAATAGCAACTAAATGTGATGGACAGAATAGCCTACTAACTAAAACGCTTATAGTAGAATGATGGCAGACAGCAGGAAATACTCTAAAAGAAGTGTTTCTATATCTTAAGACGAACATGATAGATTCACATAAATGACATTAATAATCCTCTGCAAAGAAGTATATAAAGAGGAAACGAAACTGATCATGTCTAAACCCTTAAATTTCCACTTCTGGTGATTCGTGAAATTGTATAAATTGTTGGAAATTCTATCAGACTACATAAGAAGTGCAGAAAGTACTTAACGGTATCTTTTAATATGTCAAGAGGGTGTGAATACTATAAGTTACATAGCTAACTAAATCAGATTCAAACTAGATATTTTGAGGGATTATTAAGAGTTTTGAAGTTATGAAGTTATGAGCCACAACTGTCGCACAGATAAAATAACTCACCACCAGCATCCCCTTGAAATCCCTCAAGGAGGATGTATTCCATTGTAGCATAGACATTAGTTTTATGGAAACCCGCACATGCTCCCTTGAGAATCTTGATTCTCTGCCCTGATTTCCAGGATTTACCTTTCCACCTTAGAGCCTTGTGAACCCTCACAACTGCAAGCAAAATGAACACGAGTATCATAAATCATGCATAGAACTCACATCCAGAGAACCCCACGAACGAAATTGAGAATAGGAAGGAAAAACAACTAGATAAGATGTCCAAGAACCTTAACACACATGGTATCAAAATTTTGAATTCTCACCATTCCTGGATGTGTGAAGCTCCTTCGTCTTTATAGGGTTTACTATATAGACAGGTTCATCAGTCCCACAATCAGCTTCCTTGTCATATTTATCATGCATATCTAAGAGCCACTGTTGGTACTGTTTATTCAGTTGTGAGAGGGTCAATGGTTTTCCATCTCTTCTGATCTCAATGTGTACACCTGTTGAAGAATATGTAAGGTTTTGCCATGAGGTATACATCTCATCTCACTTTCTTTCTAGCACTCAAAAAAACAATTACCCGTCTCTTTCTCCAAAGAATCTCTGCTGCCCAAGTTCCTCAAGGCATTGGTATAAGGGTTCTGGTGTGCAAAATTTGTCTGGAAAAAGAAACAGATAAGCATCAGCAGCAGCAAAAGAGCTGGAATTTGTAATGAGATGATCAACAAAAGAATCAATAAAGCATCCTCTAATAAGGTAGTTCTAATCACACCACCTAATTGAGTATAATCACTATGGATTAGTTCTATGTCATGAGCCACTTCTAATATGTAGAGTAACGTACGAATGAAATTTCACAGTTAAACTCACTAAGCTATAGCATATGGTTGATTTTTAACTTAAAATTGATTTTTAACTTAAATTTAGAATATGTAATTAAGAGGTTACAACCTTTAGGCTTTCTTCTCCTTACTTGAAATCGTAGTCTGGATGCAATGGTTGAGCATCATTAAAAGCTGTAGCATATGGTTATTTTTTTGTACTAGAATAGCACAACCACAGGATATAATGACATGCCCAGAACACAAAGCTCTAAAGCCTGGCATCTTTATCATGTTGTACTTCACTGATAAGATCATTGCATTAACAATGATTCCAAAACAAAAACATGACTAAGAGAAAGAGGGGAGATCGACAATGAGAAACAAAAGCAACAAGATTGCACTTGGTTTGAGTTTTAATAATTAAGCTGCAGGCTATAGCACTACAAACTCTGTTAATTTTTAAAGCATACATGAAGAAAATGGAAGTAAGATATGATTATGTACATGCATAATGATTTCATGTGGATAAATAGGAGTGCATAGACGGAAGCCAAAAAGTAGTACCTTAGAGGATGTTGGGTTGAAACCAGCATCTGTCTCTGGAATCACAACGATAAGCGCTCAAACATATAGAAGATGCAGAAAAGCGCAGAATTAAAAGGGAAGGAAAAACATGCTGATTATACCAATAAAGCATTTAACTCTCATGCAGCTTCTCTTCAGAACTTGTGATCTGTCCCCCTTATTTTGTCTGAAGTCCATGAATGGAAGCCATGCCTAATTCAAACGTAAAAGAATTGCCATATCGATTCACGATATCAAGTGAAAATCAACTTCCTCAACAATTAGACATAGCATCTACTCTTTTTAAGCCAACAGATGCAAGTTATGATAATGTTCTGTAATTTCAAGATATTGAATGTCCAAAATGAATGTATCATTTTCAGCACCTATGTTGGTCTTGTAGGTAACTAATAAAGAACTGAAATTGTTGTATAACTAGTCGTTTGAATCCACTCACCCAACGAGCATCTGGAAGTAGACGACCTAGCCGTCTACAAGAAACATGACTAAAACTTTCGTATTCTTCCGTGTGTTCATATCCATCTTCTTTTAAAGTTTCAAGAATACTCTGAATGCTCTCCTTACCCTGTTAATTAAATGTTTCAAAGAACAAAATAGTAGAAAGTGCCCAAATTTCTTAATACACGTCTAGCTGGATGAAATACAGATACGCATACGTACAAAAATCCAAATGATACCTCCTTAACCGGAAGATACACACACCTAAGCCGTGCATTCGCCTCATCTGAACAAATTACATTCTCAAGTTCTTAGGCATGCGTAACGAATGTAAGGATGAAATTCAAGACCAAAATTGAGTTATCAAATTTAGTAAGGCAAAAAGAACCAAACCTTGACTACTTGTCATAGTAGCATTCTTATGATTTAAATGAAAACGAAGTTGTAATACAAATTCTGGACTATTGCAGGAATTTAGGTTTGTAATCGCAACCTCTCCGCCTGGAATTTCCGCTAGATCATCACCATTAACCTAAAAGTGCTCATTGTATATGTAAATACTATATTGTAATAGTGCATTTACAATTCATGAACTAAATTAAAACAAATGAAGTTAACCACTAGGTAAAGCATATGATACAAAAGCTTCTAAAAACAATAAAGTGCAGGACAGTTGTGAGACCTGAAATTCAATTGGCATTGTCGTTCTTCCTTTATTGGACAACTCATCACACTGTAAAGAGTAACAACACATGTTAAAAGAAGGCATCTTGTGTGAATAAACTAGTAGATATGGTGTTACTATCAACAAACAATGAATCATATGGTTGAAAATATGGAAGCATGATATCCGCCTGTTGTTTCATTACTAATGGTAAAACCGGTTGTTTGCTCCATATATAAGTAGTTTTATTTTCACAATCTAATAATACAGATTATACCATCCCTGCATCATGTATAAGCCAGCAAACCTGGATATAGGGAAAGTAGATATCCTTCAATTTGCATTGGAGCCGCCTTATATCGATGCTTCTCATCTTGGGTTCAAAAATATCAACCTGTGTGAATATTTCAACAGAAATTTGTGGTGAGATCATATTCAAGCCTTTTAAGAAGAGTTGTTGGTTACCTTTGTGAAACTTCCACCAGGAGATAACTCAAGTTCATCCTCCATAGGATCTCGAAGGCTGCCATAAGTCTAGAGTGCATAAAAGAATAAGAAATCAAAGACATAGGCTTCAACAAGTAGATAAAGAAGAAGAGCAACTAAGAATTTTGTTACCCTCCAGGTTCGCTTTGAACCAGAACCACCGACTAGAGCATCTCTCTCAAGCCGTAAGATATAAACCTTTTTGCAGTTCTTTGTCTTGGAGGAAACCTCTGTGTGCCTGCAATAAGATAGCATACAATGACTTTATTTAGCCAAGATAAAGTTTCTTGATGTCAGCGTACCAAATAGCAAATTTAATCATTTTAATAGACTTACCGTCCTAAATGCATAGATGCAACAAAGCCTCCATATCCAAACATACCAAAAGCAGGCTGTACTTAACAGAAATACGTCTAAAAGTGAGAAGCAAGTATAGCAACAAGAAGAAAAAATCATGCCACCAAAAGGTAATCACAGTCGTCATGAGTTGTTAAATTCAAGATGACAATATATGCATATTCCATAGCATTAACCTTTAAATATGGAGGCTTCCCCCCTACAGCTTGTATTTTGGATGCCCGATGGAGTGAGGCACCCATCTTCCCCCTACAAAGCAGAAAACGATTAATATAAAACATAAACATGGAAGTAAGAAGCAAATAAATGAAACCTTAATAACTTTAACCGCCTTAACACCCAAATGTATCATTGGATGGCATTAAACAAAACTTGGAAACATGTATCAGAAGCATCTTCTTGAAAAATTATGGCATTTACATCTTGTAAAAGGACCATTCATTGAGAAATTAACATATTACCATTTCTCTATAGACATAGAGTCCATGCCTGGGCCTGTATCAACAATAGATATCTTATCATCTGCAACTTCCACGCTGCAAAGTGATTAAAGTCATATGAAATGGTAGAAACCAAAATCCGACAAACTATCACTAACAAAATTAACACGATAATCCTTGTACCTTATTAACCTCTTCTCATTTTCACCATTGGACCACACCGCTTGCAATGAATTATCCTACAGTAAGGAGTTTGATATGAAAAATCTTGAACATGGTTTTTTAGGGTAATTAATGAACAGATATGCTTTCTTACGATTAGATCAGCCAATGCAGTCTCAAAAGTGTACTCTTCAGGTAGCTCCATAAGCAACTCAGTATCTGGTGTCAAATCCCACATGTTCTAAAAAAGGGGAAAAAGGCATTACAGTTCATTAAATCTTGTAATGCAATACAACAGAATACACAGGCAATCAGAATATACATACATACATACATACATACACACACACTCATATATATATATATATATATATTATAGAGAGAGAAAGAACTGGAATAACCAACTATTCATGAACTAGTCATGTGAACATACTTAAACATTCATGAATATCATTCATCATGCCATTTTCATTATTGATGATATCATCATAAACATCCATCATAATATTCTTCATCCAATAATTTATAAATAGTTAGTTCTTATGGGAACTTGCCCCTTGTATAAATATATATTCAACCCTAACAAACCTCATAAATTTTTGCTGGCAGCGACCCGTCCTGTTACAAGATTATTACAAAATAATTACAAACAAGTTTAAGATATAAAACATGAAACAAAATAGAGTTATTTCAGAACGAAAACAAGGACTCACATCGAGCCTCAAATTGTAGACTTTATTCAACTCTAAGTTGGTCAACTTAAGACTTTTTCTGAAAACATAATCAGAATCGTCAACAAAACAAAGTTGAGCATTCCAGTTGACACGTTTCTTGAGATTAGAATCCCTTCTCTCATGCTCTTCCCTCACTCTACCAGCCAAATCTTTAACAGTAATGAAATCCGTGGTCTGAGGTATCTTCAGCAATCTGGTCGTCCCATCAGGCAATAGAATTTTCAGCCGGTAAACTCTCCGTGAATAGGTAACATCTTCATGTGATCGCTTTTGCGGCGTTAGAGTTTGATGTTTACCGTCCATCTGGAAATGCAGCTTAAAAGAAGGAATCAGATATCGAATCCAAAGAAGAAGAAAACGTTGATAATCCTATGGTTGTCGAAGAACTGCAAACAAAAAAACGAAAAGTAGAAACCCTCGTCAGAAATAAACATATATAGCTAGTAGCCTAGTAGTAGAGTAGTAGAGATCACAAGAAGACGAAATGCTTACTTCAGTGCATGTGCATTACAGATTGATGATTCTTGCGGAAGAAGGTAGCAATGAAATACCTGGAGTGGATTGTATATGTGAAGAAGAAAGTGGAGAGAAGGGTTTGACAACAACTGATACGACTAGGAGAGCAGAGTCTGGAAGTAATGATTTCCGAAGCCGTTTTTCTGACAACTGACATCCCATGTCCTTCCAAATTCATCCCATTTTTGTGATTTACCTTTTTTTAATACTTAATTACAATTATAATATTTAATTTTGATATTTAAACTTCTAAATAACTTGTATGAAAAGTTAATTTACTTTAACTTGATTCTTATTTTAAATTTTAAAATTTTTATTTTGATATTTAAAATATAAAGTTTTAAACATTTAAGTATTTGGATAATTGGTTGAAGCATTAACTTATTATCATGTGTTAATGTGACGAGTGATGTGGTATGCAACTCAATATTATTTACTGACATTGATATCTTAATCCAAAATTAATTTTTTATGTAATGTGGTTTATTAGAAGAAATAGTTAATACGTTAACCGGTTTCTCATGCAATTAAATGCTTAAATTTTTAAATCTTAAATATCAAATTGAAAGTTTTGAAAGTAGGTTACCAAAATAAAAATCAAGTTAAAATATGTTATTTTTTCATATAATTTATCCGGAATAATTCTCAAAATTAAATTAGAGATAAATTAAGAGCATTTTAAAGGTAAAAGTAGAGAATTAAAATTTTAAAAAAACTAAATTATATTACGTTAATAGTTTTCAAGAATACGATATTGATTATATCTAATAAAATATTATTTTATGTTTTTAAATATCAACTTTGAAAATCATTGTTTAATGACTTAAAACAAACTTTTTGTATTTTCAAGAGCTCCGTAAATTTAAAACAAACTTTTCGCATGATTAAAACAAACTTTAATGATGCGGCAAATTTAATAATTAAAAAAACTGATTTTAAAAGGGCAAATTCATCACGACATGTTCACATGACCATATCAGCCGATAAACTTATGCGAGCAACTTATGAACAAAATTACAATCTCTAATCTTCATTATTGAAATTACAGACTTGTTGATTTATCATCCCTCCCCGTGTTGACCACTCTCGATTGAGTTGAGTCTCGACCTCCGATTACAACCCCTAAATCACGTGAGGTTTTTCATTCTATATTTTTATTCAAGTTTTAAGATGTTATTGTTTGATTAATGATTAGGTTCAAATTTGTTTGAAATTATTTGATACTTTAATTGGGTTTAAAATGCTATTACTTGAGCCAATGAGTCTTTCAAGCGGTTGTATTTAGAGGTCACAACGAAAGTTGGATTTTATTAACGGGGAAAATTTTATTAAAATGTTGGAGGCACTTGATTAGTGATGTTTGACATTTTCATATTTGACGTTGAGTTTTAGAGTTTTACTACATTTTAACTTTAGATAGTGTATTTTTTGTAATTGTGAAACTATGTAATATATATCAGGTCCGGCCCCTACGGTTGGAAAGTTTGTGTTTCGCCTTGTACCTCTTTTTCATACTCATTTATATTAAAATACAAATAATCCTTAAATACAATACAATATTATTTTATTTTTACTCTTATAGTTTTTTGTTATTATTTTTAACCTTTTGATATATTTTTTATTTACCCCTATTAACTTT